CCATAATTTCCATCATCCCCAGCCAATAGGGCCATTGGCTGGCTGGCGCTGAAAGGAAGTGCATGCTGAGTGGATAGTCTGGACTGAAACCTGACCGCTTTTGAGAGGAGCTACTTTAGGAAGATATTTGTATCAGTCTCGTAGGATGAAGCTTGGATGAATTGAACCCAGATTGTTTGCCGTCTCATGTCACAGTCCCCCCCACAAAGGCAGAAGCTATGCCAATGCCATTCGCCTGTCGCCCCACACCACAGCCCCCCTGCAAAGGCAAAAGCTGCACCAGTGCTGTTCGCCTGCTGCCATACCATAGGGCCCCCTGCAAAGGCAGAAGCTGCGCCTGCACTGTTTGCCTGCCACCCCACGCCACAGCCCGTATCGCCCATTGCACGCTGTCCCCGCAGCACCATTGTTTCTGCCTGTCACCCAATTGCCTGGCAGCTATTTGTCCCGTATAGCCAAAGGCCCAGGACAAAGAGTGCCTGGGCAAATGGGCTGGGCTGAAAGGTGTGAGGGTGGAGGGCCAGGGGCCATTGGTCAGGGAGAATGGCCAGAGAAAAGCTAGCTGTAAATGGGCTGAGGCAGGAGGCTTGAGGCGAAGGAGACATGGCCAACAGTCTGTGCCTAAATGTTCCATTCTGGCCATCAGAGCTTTTCTTTTACAAGAGAGAGGGAGAGACAATAGCCTTCTTTCATGCACCTTCTTTTCCAGAGTCCTGACGGCTCTGGAATGCAATTATGACATCTATAATAAGGAACTCCTTGCCATTAAATCAGCATTCCAGCACTGGAGAGATACTTCCTAGAAGGTGCACTTTCCTAAAGCAGTCAACACTGACCACAAAAATATACACACCCTGCAACAAACCAAGCTCCTTTCCTCCTCCTCCAAACATGGCGAATTGAGATGATGCCAAAGAGCTCAATTTTGGTCTCATCTGACCATAACACTTTCACCCAGTTCTCCTCTGAATCATTCAGATGTTCATTGGCAAACTTCAGATGGGCCTGTACATGTGCTTTCTAGAGCAGGGGGACCTGCAGGATTTTAGTCCTTCACGGCGTAGGGTGTTACCAATTTTTTCTTGGTGACTATGGTCCCAGCTACCTTGAGATCATTGACAAGATCCTCCCGTGTAGTTCTGAGCTGATTCCTTACCGTTCTCATGATCATTGAAACTCCATGAGATGAGATCTTGCATGGAGACCCAGACTGAGGGAGATTGAGAGTTATTTTGTGTTTCTTCCATTTGCAAATAATTGCACCAACTGTTGTCACCTTCTAACCAAGCTGATTGACGATAGTCTTGTAGCCCATTCCAGCCTTGTGTAGGTCTACAATCTTGTCCCTGACATCCTTGAACAGCTCTTTGGTCTTGGCCACGGTGGAGAGTTTGGAATCTGATTGATTGATTGTGTCTGTGGACGGGTGTCTTTTATACAGGTAACAAGCTGAGATTAGGAGCACTCCCTTTAAGTGAGTGCTCCTAATCTCAGCTTGTTTCCTGCATAAAAGACACATGGGAGCCAGAAATCTTGCTGATTGATAGGGGATCAAATACTTATTTCACTCATTAAAATGCAAATCAATTTATAACTTTTTTGAAATGCATTTTTTGGACTTTTTTGTTGTTATTCTATCTCTCACTATTACAATAAACCTACCATTAAAATTATAGACTGATCATTTCTTTGTCAGTGGGAAAACGTATAAAATCAGCAGGGGATCCCTCACTATAGTTGCTATTACTGAACTTTGGTGGGATGAAACTCACAAATGGAATGTATTGCTGGAAGGATATAAACTGTTCAAATGAAACAAACCTAACAAAAGAGTAAGTGGGGTTGCATTATATGTAAAAAAAAATCACTACATCTCCACAGAAATGCATAAAACCAAGGATGAAAGTCTCCTTAAATGTATATGGGTTAATATAAAAGGAAAAAAAGAATGACATTTCCATAGGTGTATACCAAGCAGAAGAAAGAATGACACTGCCACCCAACCAAGGAGAAGAACTGAGTTAAATAATGCATAATGCATAACTCAGTTAAATAATGCCTATAGGAAACACAGCACAATAATAACGGGGACTTTAACTACCCTGATATCAACTTGGAAACAGACTCTGCAAAAGTGGGAGATCAAATAGGTTCCTTACAAGCCTAGCTGACAACTGTCGTCTAAAAGGTAGAGGAGGGAACTAGAGAGTCAGCTATTTTGAACTTAACTCTTACTATCAAAGATTAAATGATAGAGGAGTGGAAATTGTTGGAACTTTGGGGGAGAGTGATATGTCTTATTGGAATTCAACATAATGCAAACACAAGAAATTAAAAATCAAGCTAGTGTCTTAGACTTTAAAAGAGCTGATTTCAACAAACTGAGAGAGAGAGATTGGGAAGGATTCCACAGATGAAAATCTTAAAGGGCAAAACAACTCAAGAAGCTTGGGAAACTCTGAAAAATGTGATCATAAAAGTCCAGTTCAATGTAATACTGCTGAAAGAAAAAAAGAAATCCATGAAGAAACCAGCATGATTGCATAAAGAACTCTCTGATAAATTGAAAGGCAAAAAGAATAGCTATAAAAAATGGAAAGAGGAACACAAAACTAAGGCAGAATACCAGCACATAGGCCAAATCTGCAAAGATGAAGTCTGGAAAGTTAAGGCTCAGAATGAACTAAGACTTGCAACTAATGTCAAAAATAATTAAAAATTTCTTTCAACGTAGAAAACAAGAAAAAAAATCAAGGAAACAATCAATCCACATATGGGAGAAGATGGCAAGGAAGTGATAGGAAGCAGGGAGAAAGCAGACTCAATTCATCCATTGCATTTGAGTTCACTCAAAAGGAAAAAGTAACCCAACCTATCAAAAACAGAACCCTAAAAGAGAGACTATAAATACAAATTAAAATAGACAAAAAATGGTTAGGGAACACCTGTTTACCCTAAATGAGTACAAATCACCAGGACCAAATGGATTACATCCCAGAGTTCTGAAGGAGTTGGCAGATGTGATTGTGGAAACATTGAATCATAACTTTCAAAGATCTTGGAGCACCAGGGCACTACCAGACAACTGGAAAGAGCTGATGTGGTTCCAATCTTCAAAAAAGGGGAAAACTCTGAAAAATATGATTATAAAAGCCCAGTCCACCATAATACCACTGAAAAAGAAAAATAAGAAATCCAAGAAGAAAGCAGCATTTTCCAAAAAAGGGAAAAAATTGATCCAGGATACTACAGACCAATCAGTTTGACATCAATACCTGAGAAGATCCTTGAAAAGATAATCAAGCAAAAGATCTGCAAATACCTAGAAGCAAGCAAAGTTATAACAGGGATTTCTCAAAAACAGATCATGCCAAACAAATCTTATTTCATTCTTTGACAAATGACTAAATTAATGGACTAGCGAAATGCTGTGGACTTAATATACTTGGATTTCAATAAAGCATCTGACAAAGTAGATCACTTCTTAATGAGGGAGAAAAATGTGGGATAAATAGCACCACGAGATGGATTCGTAATTGGCTGACAAATCGCACTCAACATGTAGTCCTTAATAGAATTATATCCACATGGGAGGAAGTAAGCAGTGGGATACCCCAAGGTTCAGTTTTAGACCCAGTACTCTTCAATATTTTCATAATGATTTAGATGAGGAAATAGAAGGGGAACTCATCAAATTTGCAGATAACACAAAGCGGGCAGAAATAGGCAACACCCAAGAACTTAGGCTCAAGATGCAGAAGGATTTTGACAGACTTGAACACTGGGACTTATCTAACAAAATGAAATTCAATGGTGAGAAAAGTAAGATTTTATATTTAGGCAAGAAAAACCAAATGTACAGGTATAGAATAGGTGGAGCAACATTTAAATAAGAATCAGCAATATGCTGCAGCCCCCAAAAAGCCAATAAAATCCTAGCTGCATTAACAGAGGGACAGAATCAAGATCATGTGAAGTGTTAGTACCACTTTATAATGCCTTCGTAAGATCACACTTGGAATATTGCATCCAATTTTGGTTGCCACAATATAAAAAAAGATGTTGAGACTCTGGAGAAGAGCAACAAAATGATTAGGGGGCTGGGGGCTAAAACATATGAAGAACGGTTGCAGGAACTGGGTATGTCTAGTCTAGTGAAAAGAAGGACCAGGGTGACATGATAGCAGTGGTCCAATATTTGCCACAAAGGAGGGGGTCACCCTATTTTCCAAAGCACCGTAAGGCAGGGCAGGAAGCAATGGATGGAAACTAATCAAGGAAGAAGCAACCTAGAATTAAGGAGAAATTTCCTGACAGTGAGAATTAACCAGTGCAACAGCTTGCCTTCAGAAGTTGTGGGTGCTCCATTACTGGAGATTTTTAAGAAGAGATCAGACAACTAATCCAGAATGGTATAGTGTCTCCTGCTTGTGCAGGTGGTTGGACTAGAAGACCTCCAAAGTCCCTTCCAACTCAGTTATTCTGTTCTTTTAAGCATTATTGGTCCATCCTATTTAGAGGATGTTACAACGGATGATAAATTATTATTTGTCCCTTCAAGTCAGTCTTATCTCCTACCAGAGTTCACAGTGTGTTCTTGGCAATATTTTTTTCCAAAATGAGTAGCCCTTGCCTTCTTACTAGGACTGAAAGAGTGATTGGCCCAATCTCATCCAACTGGTTCTGTGCCTAAGATGGGACCAAACTCACCAATTCTCAGTTTGTAAGCCAATGTCTTTAACCATGGCACCAAATTGTCTCTAAATGGATTCTCATACATTCTGAATTTGTAAGTAACTTAATAAAACACACAGAGATTTTGAGCCAATTGCTGTGTCTCAGCCCAAGCTACTTCATAGGTGGTTGTTGTGATACAGGGGGAGATTTCAAAAGGCATCACTTTTCCTAGGGGAGTTCCTAGGAAAAGTTCCTAGGGGAAAAGTGAGATAATGTATAGTTTATGATAATGATAGTGATAATAACAACAGAAAAACAGAAACCTGATATCGATCCAAGATTCGGAAAGCCTGGCAAGAAGTTTTGTATACTGCATAATCTGCTGGGACATAGGAAGCATTTCTTTCCTTAGTTCCATAAAACTGATCGACCAAGATAAGAGCAGAATTCACGATATCATCCAAGTTAAAAAGGGGAAGACCATTCTCTCGTTTTGTCTTTCGGACTATCAGCTTGCGCCTCAGCCTCCGAGCCTCAGGAGTCATGTCTGTTGCATTTGGATAGGCCTCCAAGTTCCTCAAAAGAAGTTTTTCTTCATAGATACCAATAGAAGTGTATTTAGACTGAGAATCCTTATGAGCCAGTTGGGTCTTCTGCTTCTCTGAACCTTGGTCTTGAAGGAAGCCATGTGTACTACTATGATTTTCCACATCATTGACTAGCCTCTCTGCTCTTCCTTCTTCACACATCAGCTCTTGTTTAATCTGATCAGACAGCTTCATTTTCTTTTGGATCATTCCCCCTGATGCATCAGATGGAGGAATATATTCTATTCCTGGGTCTATCATACCTTCCAACTCTTCATCATCTATAAACAAAACAAAATGCCTCAGAAACACTAATATTGTAACCAAATATTTTTTCCTGCAAATAATAAAATTCTAGGAAATTCTGAAAGTATGTCAAGTTTGAATTTTTTTCCTTACAAAGTGCTATAGATAAAATCTATATCCCAACTTTTACAAAACAATGGAAAACTAAAATACAGGTAGTCCTCGACTTACTACAGTTTGTTTAGTGACCATTTGAAGTTACAACAGCATTGAAAAAGTAATATGACCATTTTTCAGTTACAACCATTGTGGCATGTCCATGGTCACATGATCAAAATTCAGACAGTTGGCAACTGACTCCCCTTTATGATGGTTGCAGTGTCCTAAGATCATGTGATTACCTTTTGTGACCTTCCGACAAGCAAACTCAATGGGGAAGCCATATTCACTTAACAATCCTTTGACTAACTTAACAACTGCAGTGATTCACTTAACAACAGTGGCAAGAAAGATCACAAAATCCGGCAAAACTCACTTAACTGTCTCACTTAGCAACAGGAATTTGGGACTCAGTTGTGTCATACATCAATGACTACTTGTGCATCTTTCTGTAAATCAGTGGCATTTATATTGGTTGAAAAATTAAACAACCCTACAACTAAGGATAGTTTTATTTAAGTCTGATTACTACTTTATAGCTATAACAAAATTTCTTCTATATTATCCTTGCTTATATAAATGTCATTCTGAATAGAAATGTGGAATACACACAGATACACACAGACACACATCTGTATATATGCATGACAGAAAATAAGTGAGAGTCTGAGGTCTGCCACTTCAACCTAATCTTGATGATAATCTGTAGCTTTTCCAAGACCACTCCAACGTACATCTGACTACAGTGAGGGAAAAATTATTTGATCCCCTGATTTTGTACGTTTCCCACTGACAAAGAAATGATCAGTCTTTTTAATGGTAGGTTTAATTTAACAGTGAGAGACAGAATAACAAAAAAATCCAGAAAATGCATTTCAAAAAAGGTATAAATTGATTTGTATTTTAATGAGTGAAATAAATATTTGATCCCCTATTAATCAGCAAGATTTCTGGCTCCCATGTGTCTTTTATACAAGTAACGAGCTGAGATTAGGAGCACTCTTTTAAAGGGTGCTTCAGCTTGTTACCTGTATAAAAGACACCTGTCCACAGAAGCAATCAATAAATCAGATTCCAAACTCTGCACCATGGCCAAGACCAAAGAGCTGTTTCAAGGATGTCAGGGACAAGATTGTAGACCTACACAAGGCTGGAATGGGCTACAAGACTATCACCAAGCACCTTGGTGAGAAGGTGACAACAATTGGTGTGATTATTCGCAAATGGAAGAAACACAAAATAACTGTCAATCTCCCTTGGTCTGGGGCTCCATGCAGGATCTCACCTCATGGAGTTTCAATGACCATGAGAACTGAAATCCTGCAGCGCCCGCAAGATGCCCCTGCTCAAGAAAGCACGTGTACAGGCCCATCTGAAGTTTGCCAATGAACTTCTGAATGATTCAGAGGAGAACTGGGTGAAAGTGTGGTCAGTTGAGACCAAAATTGAGATGTTTGGCATCATCTCAATTCGCCATGTTTGGAGGAGGAGGAATGCTGCCTGTGACCCCAAGAACACTATCCCCACTGTCAAACATGGAGGTGGAAACATTATGCTTTGGGGATGTTTTTCTGCTAAGGGGACAGGACAATTTCACCCCCTCAAAGGGACGATGGACAGGTCCATGTACCGTCAAATTTTGGGTGAGAACCTCCTTCCCTCAGCCAGGGCATTGAAAATGGGTTGTGGATGGGTATTCCAGCATGGCAATGACCCAAAACACATGGCCAAGGCAACAAAGGAGTGGCTCAAGAAGAAGCACATTAAGGTAGCCAGTCTCCAGACCTAAATCCCATAGAAAATCTATGCAGGGAGCTGAAGGTTTGAGCTGCCAAACATCAGCCTCGAAACCTTAATGATTTGGAGAGGATCTGCAAAGAGGAGTGGGACAAAATCCTCCTGAGATGTGTGCAAACCTGGTGGCCAACTACAAGAAACGTCTGGCCTCTGTGATTGCCAACAAGGGTTTTGCTACCAAGTACTAAGTCATGTTTTGTGAAGGGGTCAAATACTTATTTCACTCATTAAAATGCAAATCAATTTATACTTTGAAATGCGTTTTTCTAGATTTTTTTGTTATTCTGTCTCTCATTGTTAAAATAAACCTACTATTAAAATTATAGACTGATCATTTCTTTGTCAGTGGGCAAGTGTACAAAATCAGCAGGGGATCAAATAATTTTTCCCTCACTGTGTCTTAATTGCTACCCATTCTACTTTCCTCCCATCTTTCAAGTATAATAGTTTACTTCGAAGTATCATCCTATCATTCAATCATATTAAATGCTTCAAAAATGTGAGTTGCTGTTTTTTATCTCAAGGAAGCAGTCAGTTTACTGTACTTGGTCCAGGACAGATAAGCGTCTTCTTGACATCCTTGGTACTGTTAGAAATTATCTATAATGCCATAATACAGAGGCATATATCTTTTTTCTTTTACTCATTCCCGGTGTTCAGGTTTCAATAGCTGAACATTTTTTTCCATATTAATACAGTAAAACAAAATACTATTATGATCTGTGAGTCACAGAGACATTCTTCTCCTTCATGACCCTTTCTCAGTTTATTATTTTCCTATCTAAAGTTACTGCTCTCTTTACATCCTGAACACATGATTCAGCGTTATCTATTTTTGAAACCAAGAAAGCAAAGTTATCCAGGCCCTTCATTATTTGCTATCAACTTTGAGATCAAGCACACTAGCTAACATTCGTCTCTGCTGTCTAAATATTAAATGTTATTATTATTATTATTATTATTATTATTATTATTATTATTATT